TGAACCAGATCACTACAGATAGATATGTGATTGTCAAGATTCAGAACAGTACAGAATAAGAGTTACTCATGGACCATCATCGAAACACCACAATTAATGCTCGAAAGACAAAGAATAATTATTGAAAAACAACGAATGTTTCTCAATAGAAACAAGTATTTCCACTCAATCAATGTTCCGGTCAATTAGTGTCATGTGGTTGAGTCATCAAAATAAATTCAAACGGTATACATTTGTCTAGAACCTATCTTAGCATTATCCAGAAAGAAGGCAAAAGCGACAAATTTATAAAAAAGACTAATATGCCCAAACAATACTGGAGGTACAACAATCCATGTAAACAGCCTACGCTTTACATCAGGTTTAAGTCAAGATTAAGGCTTTCGCGTTAAAATCCAAGATCTATTATCTTATACCTGATTGATTCGTCCACAAATTATAGTCTCACTGTTTTATTTGTTATAGCCGCTCAATTATCACGTTTTGTACAAAATTCCATGTGAACCGATCGTACGTTAGCATTAAGCACTGAAGTTGGCGCCGTAACCTTGAAATCTCTAAAATGCCTCTGATTGGCTCGTCCATAATTTAGAGTCTCGCCTACTTTACTGTTGATGTTGAATGACTCTCAAAATGACTGGGAAAAAGTAATATCTATCAAATCTTAGCCAATCAGAATAAAGGTGATGTAAATGAATAATACTCACATAAAACCTCAAAAATACGTTAAGATTAAAATTTTGAGCCTTCCCAATCTCCCGATTTTGGGGAAGCCGCTATAGAAAATTTTGGGGAAGTGGTACCAAAACCACAAAATTTCCCCCAGAATCCTATTATCATAAGCCAATTGGCTTATGATTTAGGGCTAATCGTAAGAGGGAGCAGTAGTGTTTACGAATAACTTGGAAAAAAAGCTTTAATTGTGAATAATTTTAATTTAATGTTAGTCTTATATCCATTCCCATTCCATTTGGTTTCTATTAATTCCTCCATAGAAAATTCATCACATTCTCAACATCATCTAAAGAATGCTTGAAATCAGTCCCTATTCTTCAAACTAATCATATTTCTTAATTTGATTTGTCTTGGTAACTAAATGTTCATAAAATGTTACATATATCTTACTTTTTAATAAGATATAAATTATCCGTCACTGCGTTTTGAACCGACAGTTTGCTATCTTAAATCTGATTGGTTTGTTAACAAGTCATACTTTTAACCAATAGTAAAGAAGTTTGTAAGGATTTATGCCTAATGTGTAACTAAGTTGATATGAAATTAAGTTATTATTGAATATGAAACATGAAACAATTGTGTCAACTAGTTTTGTTGTACTCATAATGAAGTAACATTTGGTCCGAATAAGCTGATATTAGAATAGATGCATGAATAAACATTATTTGATAGTACTTCAAAGTTAATTAAGCATGATCAAATGTATTCTCGAATTAAGAATATTTGTATATTTGAACATATTTTAGTGTTAGCAACAGTCATATGAAAGATTCACCTAACAACAGATTAAGTGGATACAAATATTTTTTTATGATTCAATATTTAGTTACTATTGGACTATTTTGAGCTAAGTGTTCCGGTTGTCAAAGATAATGAAGTTAGAATGTATTGGTTGTTTGAATCTTCCCATTGATTTATAGGAGTGCATCTTGTGAGGATTCCTTCGATATTATCTTCAGTCAAAAACATTATAAACGGAAATGATGGTGGCCAGTAGTGGAATCCAGGACGTTCGTTCCATTCACTCTAGGACTCGAACCCAGTACCGTTCACTTAAAATACCATCGTGTTATCCATTTAGCTACTGAGTGCAGATAGTCACTGACTTGTGTAACGGGATGAAGTTTAATTCAGTTTTGTATTGGCCATCTGGACTTGGCAGCTAAGTGGATAACTCGATGGTGTGTGATGCGAACGGCACTGGGTTTGAGTCTCGAAGTAAACATCAATTCTAGGATGCAGGTACATCCGGCTGACCAGTCCCGAATAGGATGAAACGCACATCTTAGATTCCATTGCTAGGCACCATCACCTCTACTTATAATTTAATAAATAGTTTTTACTTGTTCTAAATCGACAAACATTTGTCTAAGACGTTTTGTAAGGTTCTGTGTTTGTAATTTGAACATGATTTTCCTCATAAAATGAAAACAGATTGAGTACATTTTAAAAGCCAAAGCAGATTAAGAATATTTCTATTTCAAAGGTAATCAAAACTGGAATTTTATGAATACGGAGGTGAATGAACTATTTTGTCAAACTAATGATGTTGAACAATGTGTACTGTTTAGTTGGCAATTCAATAATTTTAATGTACAGTCGTTACTAAGAGACTTGAAGCTGACTGGTACAATATAACACATGACTACAAGTATAGATTGCTAAGAAATGTTAAAACAAGATGAACCAGTTAACCATTACTTCGCTTACCTCCAAATACCCTTTAGCTAATTTCCATACATGATGAAATTCTCTTGAAAATACTTGAAAATTATAACTAAGTAAATTTCTATACTTTTCAGTAGGCAACCTCATGTCAAAGGAAACATTTAATTATTTTTCCGTTGTACATCACAGACTAATCTTATTTCGACAATCATCGAAAACTGAAGAGCACTAAACAAATCATTCGTTTTAATGTGTGCCACCCTAAACATTAAGCATTCATTAATCCATCAATTATTGAATTCGGAATTTTCAGGTCTCACAACAAGCCTTTAACCTTCATTATAATACCGAGTTAGGATCAAATCGCTTTCGTCTAGTCATATACCGATCTGTAATCGCTAACCTCCAAATGCCCTGCTACGGCCGAGAGTGGAAAGAGTCATCTCTCTCTCTCTGTCTCTCTCTCGAAATCCTCTCACATGACCACGTGCATACAACAACTATCACGGAAGTCCTACGCACTGCCTCCTCGTGACGGGGGTGTTCTTTACAAAATCGAAAGGACGAAACACGAATGTCCGGAGCTTTAACCGAGTTTGTGAACACAGAGAGTCCACCTAAAGATGTTGGAAAACCCTGAATTCAAACAAATGGTGTACATCGGTTCAAGGACCCCGAAGGAACAAATGGTGTATGAACCTATTTTTGGACACTGGCAACTATTGGATTGCATCTCCTTACGTTACTCCACAGCCTTGTGGATCAGACTTCTCTCTCTCTCTCTTGATCTACTGTGAATTAATCAAGGAGAACCGTGAAAAACTGTAGTTCTTTTTTTCTTTGTGTTGTAGTTTACACATAAATTGTTTATTTACTAATTGACAATCAGTTGTATATCGAACAGGAGCAAATATCTCCATATATAATTTTAATCATGTTTCTATCTTTTAATATCTTTTATCTATCATTTGTACTATGGTCTTTTGTATTTTGTGTGATTGTTTGATTTGTAAAAAAATACAAAACTTTTTTTTACGCATTGTTTTAATCTTTTTGTTATAGTGTATTTTCATCGAAATGATGAGTAGTAATTTATGCACCGATATAACAGATTGTGAAGTTTATCAGACAATCTATAGATCTGTTATTTGTTTTGTAATGAAAGATTCGGTACAAACAAATGTAAAAATTAGATGGAAAGAATAATGTGTTATGATGATGGATCTTTGAATAATTGGTATTTAACGAAATTCACAATTCACAACTTGAGTTTGGTTTTATAATTTACTGCCTTAATTGCAGAGTGTATTGTAAGACCTTCAGCACTTCTTTTTGGAAAATGTTTCCTATTGAATTTCATCTAGTCTAATTTCCAATGTTATTTTGTGATGCAATGATATATTGAAAGATGCATCATTGAAAAGCTATTCTATCCTGTCATAACACTATTCAACATTGTGCATTCACCAAGGATCAAACCTAAGATCTTCGAGTCTCATATTGAGTGCATTACCTTTAGACTACTGTATTGCTGTCCAATAGTTTATCTTTCCAAATTTAATCAGTTCTAAAAATGGCACAACTCTCATCAATTAATAACCGAAATTTATACAACGGACTACACTACAAAGTACTGCACGGAGGACAGCTGACAGACGCATTCTGAGTGAGAACCGCAGTCAAACAAGGCTTCTTACTCTCCATCTTTCTCTTTCTCCTGGTAGTCGACTGGATTCTGAAGATCTCTACATCTCAGGAGAAGTACGGAATACAATGGAGATTGGATACAACTGGAAAATTTGAAATTCGCGGATGACCTAGCTCTTCTATCCCATACACCAACGAATAGAAGTGAAGAAAGCCAGTGTAGCAGCAGCCTCTGCATCAGTAGACCTCAATATACACAACAACAAAAGCAAGATCCTCATATATAACATGCAGAACAATAACCCAATCACACTCGATGGAGAAGCTCTGGAAGATGTGGAATCTTTCACGTGTTAAAGTCAGTTCATTGAAATTGTATCTAACTCTTTTTCCAAATGAATAACTGTTTTCTCCTTCTTTATTTGCTTTTGTTGTTGTTATTGTTACCCCCAAAAACAAGCAATCCTCATTCATTCATTCATTCATTGAACTTAGTTGTGTTTTTTTTCAAATTTTTTAATTTCAAATATTTGTTACTATGATGGCATTGAAAACATCAAAATCAATTTTCTTTAAAAGAAAAAAATTATTGAATAATTAAATTTCCACCCTAATAAACACTCTCCTAAAAAAACCAATAACACCACCATCAGCATCACCGTCATCACCACCACCAACACCACCACCATCACTATCAACACCACCACCCACAACAACAATAAATACAAATTACATCATATTCAATAAATAAAAAATAGGTAACAACAAAATTCATTTGAAATCAATGGACTGTTAAAAATAAAAATAAAAAATTTTTTTTCTTCTTTGATAAATTTCAAATTCAATTCATGAACAAAACTAAAAAAAATTTTTTCTCCAAACAAAAAAAAATAAAAAATGAATAATAACGACAATGTCCTGTTTAATCAATTTTCAATGGAATAGGAGATAACACAACAAACAAACAAACAATCATTCGGAAATGATTTGAGTCATTATTATTATTATTATTTATACCTTAGTTACAATGGATATAGATCATAAATAGAGGACAATGGTGATATGTATACACACACGTGTACACATGGGATCTAATTCATTTTCCTTGTTTCACTATCTTTTATTCCTTTTTTCTTTTTTTTTTGTTCAAGAAAAACAATCATCATTTGAATTTCTAATATCCCGCGAAATACAGATCGATGTATATGTAAACAGAAAAAAAAAGAAGAAACTGAAGAGTTCGTTATTATTATTATTCTTATTTTGAAATAATCCAATGTATATTGAATATGACAAATGAATCAAATTTGAATAAAGGAAGTCCTAGTGTTTTCCTGAATTGATATTCCCTAGTGTGATCTAATTCATTACTTAGACTATTGTTATTTTGATGGAGTTTTGTTCTCTGACTTGGATATTTTGTTAGTGGAGCTTTCATCGTTTATCTGAACGACATCATCATTAGCACAAACTTCGGATAAAAATGAAGCATTCGAATTTCTTCATATGTGGTTCACAACTTGTCCTGTATATGGAGAAATTCAAACGCTTCATTTGTATCTGAAGTTTTTGCTGATAATGATGTCGTTCAGAAGAACGATGAAAGCTTCACGACCAAAGCATCCAGGACAAAACTCCATCAAAATCATTCACTTGAGCTACGAATCTTCTCCACTATTATTATTATCACCATTACTATTATTGTTATTATTATTATTATTATGAAGTCGATCTTGAAGATGATGCATTGAGAAGAGAAATGAATATTGTAGAGTAAAACAATGTTCAACTATCTTATACACTAATACTTGTGATGTGAACAGACAAACAAGAAGCTTTGATAAACTATGGAAGCCATTTTTGGAGGAACGTTATTCCATTTAATACAAAGCTATGAACTGCATGTGGAGAAATTCAAACATTTTACTTCTACCTAAAGTTTGTATTGTGGATAATGTCGTTCTGAAGAACGATGTCAAGCTCCACAACTAAATCATTAAGCTTAGAGAATTAAAACTCCATCAAAAAAAAGAGAAGAACGATTGAAATTCATTATTTATCTCATCAAACCTTTTTTACAACTTTGATGTTATTGTCTCGTTTGCTCACTCACTCACTCATTCACTCACTCACTCATTCACTCACTCACTCATTCACTCACTCGTTCATTCATTCATCTACTCATAGACTTTCTTAGTATCAACCCTTATTGATTCAACTAACCAATCAATCAGTCAATCGATTTCTTTTGTTTATTCTAACTTGTGAATGATTATAATCATAATATTTGTTTTAAGTAGTATTTATGAGAAAAAGAGAAAAAAATTTTTTTAGTTGTAGATAGTAGTAGTAGTAGAATAGTAAAGGTCTATCTTATCATCATATTTTCGATCCTTAGGGCATATTCTGTCTTTATTATTGACTAGATATATATATATATACATAGAATAAATATTTAATCAAAAGGATAACACAACAGATACTACTTAATTAAACAACATTCATGAATATGCATAACTTGAAGCAAAAATAACATCAATAGAATATACAAAACAAAACTAGCGTATGTGTGTGTGTGTGTGCAGATATATATATATATAACTATATACATTCTTGGGTATACATTAATGCTTGAATATATATATATATATATGGATTAATAGACAAGTAAACCTAATTTCTACGTTATGTGGTTATCTTTTCTTAAAATAAAATATGTCTGTTCAGTTTATTATGATGATTGTTAAAATAAATGAAACAAACTACTTGTAAGTAGTAAATTCATTCATTCATTCATTCACTAATCAATTGACTAAATAGTTAAGCAACTCATACAGAGATATATTTAGTGGGGCCAATATTAGAGGGAAATCAGGGGAAGAAATGAGCTCGTATCCGCACATACACGCACACGTGCATGCACGCACGCACGCACGCACGCACGCATGTACTCACAAATAATCACACGCTCGAATAGATTCTTTACAAATGACCATAAATTTAATTAGTGCCGTTAGATTGAGGAAGAAAAAAACTCCACAGGATAAACAAAAATAAGTAATCGTAAAAAAAAGAGTAAAGGAATGAGAAATTATGTGGAGAACGGATGTTTCACACACATATACTACTATTACTTCTATTGATAGTAGTAGTAGTAGTAGTAGTAAGTAGGATGAATCAAAAATTTCTGAAAACACAACTCATGGAAAGAACAGAAGAAGAAGAAGAAGAAGAAGAAGAAGAAGAAGAAGGTTAGTAGGTAAGCAACAGTAGTATGGAGAAAATTAACTAAGATGAAGTGCATAAAATAACACTAGAAAATTCATTGTACTATTGGTTATACACTGGTGCATTTGTGTGTGTATATGTGTATACCCTGTTTCTGTCTATAGCCTTAATTCTTTCTATTGTGTAGCCAAAAACAAAAACTGAACGAAAAGAGAACGAAAAAGAAGGTAATAGTAACAAGGTTTTTGTTGTTGTTGTTGTTTGAATGAATGAATGAATGAATAATGAACTTGTCCATTGAATAAACAAGAGTTAATTTAATTTATTATAACAACGACAAAATGAAGTGAATATTCAATAGTTTATCCACATTATTATATTCAATAATAATAATAATAATAATCTCCTGGTTAGTATTTTTCGAAAGTATTTCGATCGTCACTACTCACTATATACATTGTGTGTGCATGTATGTATGTGCATCTATATGTATGTATGTATGTACGTGTGTATATTAGTGAGTACACACGTTCACATGATAGTGTGTATCAGTGTACATATATGGGTATATCTATAGGAATGATTGGAAATCTCTTTGTTTTATATTTTTCTTCTAATAAGATTGTCTATAACACACACAATATTCAGTAATCAAATTAACAACAACAACAACAAATATTGTGCTCATATTTTGTATTAAATAAATAACAATTTAATAATTTAATTCATGAATCAATTGAAACTAGGCCACCATGGAATACTTGGAAGCACTGAATGGCCGTTTCATCCTAATATGGGACTGCTCAGCAATGCACATCCATGGTCCCGAACTGCGAGATTCGAACCGGGATTGTTGTGTGATAGTAACTCACTGAAGACAATTGTAGACGGTGGTGCAATTTCGTGGATTAGTTGAAGTTAGACATTAACATCGTTGGATGATAGCAGGCTCAGTAATCTAGTGGTTAAGTGCTCACGCGCGAGACTGAAAGGTCCTGGATTCGAATCTCGCGGGGGCGGGATGGTGGATATGCACTGCTGAGGAGTCCCATACTAGGACAAAATGGCTGTACAGTACCTCCAGGTTTTCCATGATGGTGTAGCTTCAATTGACTCATAGATTCAACTATTAAATGATTTATTAAAAATTGTTAGTAATCATCCAGAAGATGCAAGTGTTTATTCACAGTTTCCTGCACAAAATACTTCGGATCCGTTGGCCGGACACTATAAGCAACAACCTACAGTGGGAAAGAACAAACCCTCACATGGAATCCTCAAGGCTAAAGGAGGAGAGGAAGACCAAACAACACATTATACCGAGAAATGGAGACAGACAAACATGAGAAGAATGACCAACAGTTGGATAGAATTAGAAAGGAAGATCCAGGATAGAGTGGGTTAGAGAATGTGAGTTGGCGGCCTATGCTCCATTGGCAGTAACAGGCGAAAATAAGTAAGCAAGTAACTAATCATAGTAGGCGTAGAAATTATTGCTAAGTATTTTATTATCATGGCAACTATTTTCACTACTAAATAAAACTGCACAAAACGACTGAATTCAATAGTTATCCCTTAAAAAGTTACTAACCTTGTGTTCATTCCTATTTCTTTTCTTTTTTTTCTTAGAAAGTTTAATTGATCTTACTAAATACAATCGATTTCTAGTGCTCTATATGATTTCATTCATATCATCCTCTTCTACCTCCCCTCCCCACCCCACACTGTCTACCTCATCAACTGATTTGAATTATAATCATAATTCCCCTTGAGTAATTGTGTCAAAATTTATTTCATCTCAAATTTGTCTGTATGTGATACAAATGTGAGTGCTTTTATTTTGTAAATAAGTAAATGAGTATGTGTACAATTGTCCCCTTCATTTATTCATTTAAACACCACATATATATGTACATAGAAGAAAGGAATACATTTCATATAAGTGTAGTAGTATTAGTAGCTATATTGTGATAGAAAGATTTACTAACCACCATTTCTCATTTCATTCATGTTTAATCTAATTAGGTTCACGTCAATGGAATGTCATACATCATCAGTAATATCGACAATAACATCATTCATCAAAAATATTTTCTTTAATAAGATGTAATAACTTCCCATATGTACAAAACAAGGACTCATTCAAACGGGTGTATACATTTATTGACACATCCACACACACACACACAGTCACATTCACACACACACACATTCACACACACACACATTCACACACACACACATTCACACACACACAACCGAATACTCTGCATCTTGTTCTTGAACATGATAATAGTAGTCATAGTCAAATTGTTTGAAAAGAAAATCTCTTGGGTATTTATATTTTGCTTGTTTGTTATATACATAAATGAATATACATAATGTATAGTGTCAGAAATTTGATTTGTGTTTAGCGCTAAACACAAACCGCATAAAACACACTTACATAAACGATTAAATTTCAACTATAATTTTAAATATTGAATATGAAATAAGTTTTTCGGCAAATATGAAACAATTGAAGTGAAGTTTTAATAAATAAACAGAGTTTAATAGTTGAATACGTGAGTCGATGTAAGCTGGGACTCTTTAACGATCCCACACTGAAAAGGATTCGAACCCAGGACGTTCAGTCTCACGTACAAATACTCAACTTATAGACCACTGAGTTGGCTAATATTTAACGGTGTTAGTGTTTGAGTTCGAATGATTCATAATCTTGTGTAAATATTTATTCAATGTCTGAGGTAGATGTTTGTCTCTACCCAACACGGACTGACCTCCATTGGTCACGGCTTCGCACTAGAACTACAAGAAATCCATCTTAAAGCTAGTCACTAGTGAGTATATGATGATAAATAAATAGCATGCATTTCTAACATATCGAATAAAAATGTAAACATGAACGGATAACTTTTTCAAAGCATACAATCGATATCTTTTCAT